GACGACGACGACGACGACGACGACGACGACGACGACGACGACGACGACGACGACAACACAAATACAAATAAACTAGGCATTGATTTGACACAATTAATGTCAAAACTATAAATAAATAAAAATTGATACAATTTTGTCATGGTATGTTTCTAAATATAAACCATCTTAGCACATCCAGATCGCCTAAACCTTTTTATATTGTTATAATCTCATGTAATATTGAAATCTGCAGATATTAAACTAAAAATATATGAAACGGCCACTTTCGTGGAGAGAACATTGAGAGTTTAGGGAAAAAATAAATAAAAGTGCTCCTTTGCTACAATCTTGAACATACAAATAAATGTCTTTTAGCCACATAGCCATAGCTGTAGTACTTTTTGTGCAACTCGGGACACGTCAGACAGGAATATGATAATTCTGCAGAAATAGCCTAATGACAGTAGTGTTAATGTTTATAAAATAACATTTGCATGAACTAAAAATAACTTTGATATAGCAGCGGTTTTAACTTTGATCTTGGCTCCACGCAGGCAAGCCTTTAGCCTGCGTGATCAGAAATAAACTGTACAGCACGCTTCCACTGCAGGAATCTTTCTCCAGAAACAGAGCAGTTTGTGGGGGCTGTTCTTTACCCATTTCATTTCCTCTGTTATCACCAGGGTTAATACAGAGCAGAGTAGAAACTTACCCAAGAAAACAGCTCAGGTTTTATATAAGAAACAAGTTAAATATCTTCAAACTAAGGTTGTTAAAATAAATATCTACAACAAGTAATATGTTAATTGTTCATAACTGTTCCAGGGAACCCCACAACAAACCATATTAATCCATACTTGTACACTTTATTTGCATCTGAAGCTAAGTTGTAAAAGAAAAGTGCAAATGAGTAGGATATGTTTCTGTAATTCCAAGTGTTACCGCCAGATGGCAATCTCGCCATTCAAACTGCATCTTTTGTTTCATTAAAATTTCCACCTGTAGTCTCTTTGGCTGTTGCAAATTAGCACATTCTGAAATTAATACTCAGATCCTTGCAGAAGACATAAAAAAATGTTTTAAAACTTCATGATACCTCAATTGTTAGCACCACTATGGCCAGAGCTCCAGCTACGTAGATGTATAGCTCAAAGTAGTCGACGACCGCAGAGTAACAGCCCTGTGGACACAAAGATGACACGCTCAGCGGAGAATCAATAGGCCATAAATTTTCACAATTACAGAGATAGTTAAGGTAACATAACAGCTTCAATTGAGCCAGGCTTGGAACAAAAGCCCAGCTGAGTGAGTGGGAAGCGAGGCCTGCAGCCTCACCGCCTTTTAATGAGAGCTCTTTGTGTGAATGAACAGAGAGGAAGGAGCACACTCTGATATCTCCTCATTGTTCTAATAACATGAAAAACAACAGGTGGCAAGAGAAGAGTGCTGTTAGAAGTGTGCCATCAGTGTAATTACTCTCAAAGCTTGCCTTGCACACATGGATTTGCATGTGTATTTTCTGTGAAGTGCATCTAATTTTCACATATTTATGTTTATAAAACGCTCTATTTTTGAACCCACATGTGCTTCTTAAAAGCCTCATTATAGCCGTGTATGCACACACACGCACAAGCTGCCATCTCTGAGCGGCACCACACGTTAAGATGATATGCCGTGACACCCAAAACACAAAAAAAGGACTAACAAGCCATGGCAGAGTCAGCCGGACCAGGAATGCATTTACCTACTGTTTTCTGCTCTAATTAGGCCTGGAGGTGGTTTAGAAGGGGGGCAAATGGAAGAGGTTGACCTGGCAGATGTCAGGAGTTACCTTGTTATTTCGGAACATCATATTGCCTGATAAGCACTGCTCCTGGCTGGTGTAGACCAGCTCTCCGCTCTGACTGGCACGCTGGCAGCAGGCTTCTGGCACCACATGGTCCTGGTTAATGCGCCTGAAGAGGCCGTCCTTAAAATCCTCTGGGCTGTTCACTCCGCAGCAATCAAACTGAAAGGAGGACAGAACAGTAAAAATATATATATATTTTTTCTTTTTCATCTGAGTGCGTATTTGTGCAGTGACCTGTGGTCATCTGTGTTGAGTGCACTAAACCAGCATGAACACTGACCTAAATATCAAGGATTTGTTTATTAAAAAAACTTGACACGTGGCTCTAAGGCTTTGTGATCAACAGCTACCATGTTTGAGCCCAATGCTTACTGTAGTCATGATGGCGTTCCATGTGGTGGTGAAGACGTCACTGTTGTTGTAGCCCTGATAATGGCTCTTCAGCTCCTTTGTGAAATACTCTCTGGTCAGCTAAACCAAGAAGTAGTAAAACCAGAGGTCAGTGTCACTAAAGACTTAAAAAAAAACCACCATCAGATCCAGAGGAAGGGTGTTCATTTAAAGGCTAAAATTAAAATCATAAGCAGATAACTGGAGTTAAAGGATTTATTCAGAAGTCATGAAGAAGAGCTCTGTAAAAAGGTATGAACAGCTATTATCTTACCTGTTGTAGGTAGCTCTTTGAATGACATCAATTTGGAGATTTGGAGTTTATATCTGATCGGACTGATGAGTTAAAGATTAGTCTAAGCAGGACCAAGACCAAAGTGGATTACTGCTCTCTTAAAACAACTCTGTCTCAAAAATTTCATAGTGGTTCTTTCAAACACTTAATTTTTTTATCTTTACACTGCTGTTAGTTTCCCATTACACTATTATTCTGCAGTAATATTATAATAATTCTGTTCAAAATGCCTCAGTATACTACAGTGCTACAGCTAGCTGCTACTGCTCCTATTTCCTCTAAATAACAATAAAAGTCCAAATAAATGGTTTATAAAATAGCCTTTACATGAACCCCCTTCTTTGAGGTTAGAGGTGTTTTACGATGGCAGTGATCCACTTTGTCTCAGCCCCACTCTGACTAGCCATTAGCTCATCAAACTGGGCAAAAATAAACAAAGGTCGTTCAAAGAGCTATTTAAAACGGGTAAAATGTTATTGTCCATCTTTTCACAGAATCCCACTCTAAAACGTCTGTACTAAGGATGCTCCGATCAGGTTTTTTTCTGTTGATCACCGATACCGATCACATGGATTGGCTGTAAATTTGTTGATTTAGTTAAGATGAGTGCTACTTGCTATGTGACCTAGAAAATAGGAAGCATAAAATCACCTTACTTCAGAGAAAAACATGTTTTTATGTACTTTTTCAAAACATAAAATATAAAAAATCTTGCAGGCGCAATACAGAAACTGTTCAGTCAGAAGGACAACTGAAAACATTTAGCTGCTATCAGTGACAGTCTTTAACAGATAGAAAACATGAAGACTCTCAACAGGCTAAATGTGCAGAAAGTTTAATAAATCTCAAAACATTGCTTAAATATATATAAATACCACATGACCTCTGCAGACTAAAAGGTGATCAGTTTTTGTGATCGGCACTGAAAGGCATTGATCGGTATTGGCCGATTACATACATGTTAATGGAAATCGGACGATCATGATCAGTGGCTGATTGAGCGGAACATCTCTAGCACTGACGTCTGAAGATTTAAGTTTAAAATATTTTGATTTGATTTTCCTTTATTACTGATCGATAGTCACTTTTTAAAGCAAAATAACATTAATTATGTTACGTCTAGAGTTGGTAGTGGTTGGTACTTTAACTCACAGTTTTATAGTCAGCAAAGAAAACGTTCCACCTGAACACTTTGTTTGGTTATTTAAATGATAAATGAATAATGCTGCAGTTTGAATAGATTTTTTAAATTTGTTCATATATGCATAAACATAACATGCACATTCCATGGACATTTGTACTTTTGTAGTGCACTAATAAGCTCCATCCTCTGAAGATATTTATTCAGACTAAAGAAGATCATCATGTTGGTAGGAAAACTGTTAAAAGCTTTCTAAAAAGAGCTGTGAGAAACTGTTAAAACTGATGTAATGGTACGCAACATCACTTAGGGCTTGAGAAGTTTAGGCAGGAAAGAGAGTTCCTCTGCAGTTTACTACTTTGTGCTTGGAGCAATTTGAAGCTTTAATTGTTATTTTCAAAGTACACTGTTTTTTGTCAAAGTGCGTCAAAGATAATATTAAATTTTGAGGAATCAGAAGCATTCAGGAAATAAAAGTGATGCTCTATTGTGATTACAAAAAGATTTTGCACAATTTTCTAACGATTTCTCCAGAGATGATACAAAAATTCATTGTTAATTAAAAAGTCACAAAATAAACTAACACATACTAGACAAAAACTGTCTAAATCATTGTTTAAAGTAAGAAGTATGACAACAAGGTAAGTGTGACGTTTGACCTTCAGGCCTGACATTTCGTGAAGCGTGGTGTAGATGTGCACGTGACTTACGTGCTCCCGGAATATGAAGGCCAGGATGGCAGCAGCCAGCTCTGCTAAGAAGATGAGGAGGATGAGCATGAAGAACTGCAGTCAGTCAAGAAGAAAAAACGAGTCAGAGTTTGACAAGGTGGGTGAATCACAGAAAAAGTGCACGTCAAGCTTAAAAAAACAAAACAACAAAATAAGCCCCACTCTGCCTGGACCCACTTCACTCAGCATTAACTATGCATGAGGTCTGAAGGCAAACTGAAAGGCATTTTGATCTTCTTTTTTTTTTGGTTGTTTCCAACATGGCAGTCCAAAGTATCTGACAGGGAATTAATGAACACATGTACACAAACAAGTCCAGCAACATAAACGTGTTCGATTTGCCAGCAGACTCACAAAGAGGAGCAGACATTTGTTTTCACGGATGGCTCCACAGCAGCCCAGGAAGCCCAGAAGGAAGAGCATCCCTCCCATTCCCAGAATGATGTAGACTCCGGTGAAAAGTAAAGGGTTGGCTGCTACGATTTCCCTGAACCCTGTGGGGTCCACCAGCACCCACACCCCCACTCCCAGGAGGAAGGACCCCCCCAGCTGATGGACAAAAAGAACAAAGGTCACAATCACAGACAAGAATGAAACTAATAATGATTACACTTGTGTGTGTGTGTGTGTGTGTGTGTGTGGGGGTGGGGGGGGTGTAAAATCTATGAATGGATTTTACTGAGACTTTCACAAAGTAATTATTGCGTTGACATTACAACGGATTAAGTTTTGGAGTTAAAGAAATTCAAGATGGCCACCACTGCAAGGCAATCTTGGAAAACCCATAAATGTCTAGTCCCTCGTTTATCGCGGGTGTTCTGTACCCTGAAGCCCCGTGATAAGTGAAAAACTCAAAGTAGGAATAGTAGTACAAGTAGTAAGTAGTAGTTTATATTAATATATACAGTATGTACATATACAGTATGTGTGTGTGTGTGTGTATATATATATATATATATATATATATATAT